ACGTACCAACACATGCATGTATCTGTGACACTTACCGGGCACTGGTTGTTCGAAGGTTAGACAACGCTATCCACTGGATAAATCTCTGTCCGGTGGATAGTGTGGCACGTTTTGCTATTACTTATCCGCTGGATAGCAATTTATCCGTTGAATTTCGTTATCTGACCTTTATACAACTGGGCCTAGAACACTACCAACAGACATGCATGTATATAATTTAACAACAAAAGTTTGTTAAATTATAACAAAAGGAAGCTAAACGAGTCTCAAAAGAAGCAAAAAAGGATTTGGTGATTTTGTTACTCAGGAGCAGTTTTAAATCGTGTGTCGAAAAACCAAAACAAATATAATCACAGCGACCAATACGGTTAACATTATCATTAGCCAATGAGAACACGAATTGAAAACAAGCAGACTTCTTGAGGCGCGGGAAAACAAAGACAAAGTCGCGGTTGATTTTAGCGTTGCATCTGATTGGTTGAGAGAATGGCGCGAGTTTGCTGGACCAATCAGTGAGCTGAGTTACGTAAAACCAAAATCGACAGTCAATTGAAAATTATGTCAAAACTAAGGTATCAGTCTGAGCCAATACCTATTGTGGGCCAATATTATGTAAAAGCTTGAGATCAAACAAAAGACAATCATAACTGCCATAACTACACCACTTACAATGTACTGTCATGTTGACAAACTTAGTTACAGGGCTTCCAACACCATTCTCAGCTGTACATCTGTACAGTCCTTCATCCTGACTACCACGGATGGTCAAAGGAAAGTTCACTTGACTGTTATCAGCAACTTTTGTCCAAGTTATCTTTGGTGCTGGATTACCTTCCGCCATACAAAACAAACTCACCACGTCACCTTTATTCACGATCTGCTCACCAGAAATGTTTGTTATTCTTGGTGTATCTTTAAAAGGAACAAATCATCAAAAAGTCATAAGATATTAAAGGGTTTTATTTCCGATACAAATTCAGATAGAATGCTGTCAGATTTCCGAAGCGGTAATGTTAAAGTACGCCGATTAAGATCTCAAGTTCAAAGTAACGACAGTAAAAGCAATAAACCATCCACAAACTCACACAGCACATGAATGGTTGCCGTCTCTGTTCCATTGCCACACTCATTACTGGCTTCACATTTGTATTCACCAGCTTGACTCCTGTTCATGTTTGTAAACTCCAACATGTGTCCATACTGACGCTGACCACCAGGCTTAATCCAAGACACATTTGGTTGAGGCATTCCAGATGCATTACATGTCAAAGTTAAATTGTCACCTTCGGTTACATTCTGATCTTGTGTTATTTGGGAAATTGAAGAAGGTACTGTAAAAGAAAAGTGAAAATGTGGAAGGATTTTAAATGTTATTAATGACTAGCTTGTCCACTTTAACACAAGCACCATTTCACTCCCAAAATGCAATGTACAGTGCGTGTAATTCTTGTCAACTTAATAACCCCTGACAAACATTAAGTTAATTAAGACCACGCACGTATACAAAAATTATGTTGCTTAATGGTAGACTCCTAAAAAGCGTTAACGACTAATTTGCTTACAATTTACAGTGAAAGGAACATTCATGCTGTATTCTGATCCTAGAGAGTTGTTAGCCACACATTTGTAGAAGAACACTCCTTCACTTTCCAAGGTCTTAATCCACGTCCCTGAGGCACTTGTGTTTAAAATGGCCTTTTGGTTCTCAAACAACTGGTATGACGTCACTCTTGGATCAGCATCAGCTGAGCAAGTAAAACTGATGACTTTTCCCGTACATGCTTTGTCATTCATGGCAGAATTCATTAACTGGACATTCTCTGGTTTGTCTAAGGACAAAAGAGACAATTTATATTACAATTTCAATGGCCTTTGCAAGTTACGTATAATGAAGTGGCCAAGGAGTCGTCCTTTTTCCTTGGCTGATGCTGAAGCTACAAATAAACAAGTCTCTCCATCAATAGAGTAATAGAGAAGAAAATTGATATACTGTGACAGAGAGAAACAAGAAACAAGATGTAACCATGGATGACTTTCACATATACTTACACTGCACATCAATAGTTGCCATCTCTGTTGCATTACCACACTCGTTACTGGCTTCACATTTGTATTCGCCCGCTTGACTCCTGTTAATGTTTGTAAACTCCAACATGTGTCCATACTGACGCTGACCACCAGGCTTAATCCAAGACACATTTGGTTGAGGCATTCCAGATGCATTACATGTCAAAGTTAAATTGTCACCTTCAGTTACATTCTGATCTTGTGTTATTTGGGAAATTGAAGAAGGTACTGTAAAAGAAAAGTGAAAATGTGGAAGGATTTTAAAAGTAATTAATGACCAGCTTGTACACTTTAACACAAGCACCATTTCACTTCAAAAATACAATGTATAGTGCGTGTAATTCTCGTCAACTTAATAACCCCTGACAAACATCAAGATAATTAAGATCACGCACGTATACAAAAATTATGTTGCTTAATGGTAGACTCCTAAAAAGCGTTAGCGACTAATTTGCTTACCATTTACAGTGACAGGAACATTTATGCTGTATTCTGATCCTAGAGAGTTGTTGGCCACACATTTGTAGACAAACACTCCTTCAATCTCCAAAGTCTTACTCCACGTCCCCGAGGCACTTGTGTTTAAAATGGCCTTTTCGTTCTCAAACAACTGGTATGACGTCACTCTTGGATTAGCATCAGCTGAGCAAGTAAAACTGATGACTTTTCCCGTACATGCTTTGTCATTCATGGCAGAATTCATTAACTGGACATTCTCTGGTTTGTCTAAGGACAAAAGAGACAATTTATATTATAATTTCATTGGCCTTTGCAAGTTACGTATCATGAAGTGGCCAAGGAGTCGTCCTTTTTCCTTGGCTGATGCTGAAGCTACAAATAAACAAGTCTCTCCATCAATACAGTGATGGAGAAGCAAATTGATATACTGTGACAGAGAGAAACAAGAAACAAGATGTAACAATGAATAACTTTCACATGTACTTACACTGCACATCAATAGTTGCCGTCTCTGTTGCATTACCACACTCGTTACTGGCTTCACATTTGTATTCGCCCGCTTGACTCCTGTTAATGTTTGTAAACTCCAACATGTGTCCATACTGACGCTTACCACCAGGCTTAATCCAAGACACGTTTGGTTGAGGCATTTCAGATGCATTACATGTCAAAGTTAAATTGTCACCTTCGGTTACATTCTGATCTTGTGTTATTTGGGTAATTGAAGAAGGTACTGTAAAAGAAAAGTGAAAATGTGGAAGGATTTTAAAAGTAATTAATGACCAGCTTGTACACTTTAACACAAGCACCATTTCACTCCCAAAATACAATGTACAGTGCGTGTAATTCTCATTAACTTAATAACCCCTGACAAACATCAAGATAATTAAGATCATGTACCTTTACGAAAATTATGTTGCTAAATGGTAGACACATAAAAAGCTTTAGCGACTAATTTGCTTACCATTCACGGTAACAGTAACATGCATGCTGTATTCTGATCCTAGAGAGTTGTTGGCCACACATTTGTGGACAAACACTCCTTTTCTTTCCAAAGTCTTGCTCCACATCCCCGAGGCACTTGTGTTTAAAATGGCAGTTTCGTTCTCAAACAGCTGGTATGACGTCACTCCTGGATTAGCATTAGCTGAGCAATTAAAGCTGATGACTTTTCCCTTACATGCTTTGTTGTTCATGGCAGAACTCATTAACTGGACATTCTCAGGTTTGTCTAGAATAGAAGAAAGAGACAATTAATACACAATATTTCACTGCCCTGTAAGCTACAGGTATATATTCCGCAGCCAAGGAGGCTTTTTTCTTGCCATAGCTGATGGAATGCTGCCCTGAGTGATGAAATGCTCACTCTTGTATATCACTGACAATTCTTTCATTACAGTACCACTGTTTTATGATAAATCTTTATGTAGCTTAACGCTAATAAGCAAATTAGCCTTTGAGCCAGTTTGAAAAGGCTCTGGCCACTGGATTTGCTTAAGGTGCCTTAAGGAGCCCGAAGTTGCTTTTCAGTTTACTCAATTATTCCTGATCAAGTTGCAATATATATAACTATATATATTTTTTATCTATGTTACCACCGTAATGTTTAACCTCTTGGAAAGATCCTTAATTCTTACACTGTGGCTATACATTGTGCCTATAACTAAAATATTAGTTCCATTCTTCACGGTCATCAGCATATTAAAATTCATCTTTTTTTGTGGAACAGAAAGAAATGTGGATGATGTCATGTGTTTTAAAAGTATACCATTTTTGTTTCGGGTTCAAGAGAAAAGGTTGGAAGTAAATGTGGGTGAAAAGTGAAATTTACTTTATCATTGTAAATATTAGAAAATCAATGCAATACTGTCTTAATGAAAACATTAACAAAACATTAAGCAAACACGTCGGTCACTTCCTCAAGCCAATAAATAACTTTTGAATCGTCTGTTTTCTCTGCCTCAAATCACTTTGGTCGACAGAAAAATATTGGTTGCAGAATGAATTTGTATAAGCAATAATGTCAATTACGTTGGTTGACAAGCGGCCTAAAGACCGTCTGAAGTTAAATTTAATCGTTCACAAAAAGTACATAGAAAGTTAAAACGTGAAGTATTTGGTTACAGTTAAACTGAAAGATGGAACTTTCATTCATTTAATGACTGAATTTTCTTTAGCAATTTGTTCGCAGCAAAAGAGCGAGTGAAGTTTTAATTTAAGTTCTACAACAAATTTACGCTCTCGGTGAGTCTTTCCGAGCCCGTTCAATTTGGACATTTGTACCGTAAATTGCATAATAGAAGCTGAAGGAGTTTAATGAGAAAAGGCCGCATTAAATCCCTGTTTGTTTCGTTGGAGTGTGCCATTCGAATTTAGTTTTTGTGGAGGAAAGACCAGATTTACACACGCCATTGCAGCAAACAAACGAACAAACTCTCACAACTTCAAAATAAAAAAAATTGAATTTACTCGCATTTACTTTCCTCGTTGTTTACTTAATGAACAGAGGTAAATCTTCGTACATGAATGAATTGTCGATGAGAATGCATAATACTTTCCGTTAGACCATTGACTGTTTTTGAAGAAAACATTGTCGTGACAGTCCTTGCCAAACTAATTCCGTTGTTTTCAAATGTTCTTGCGCTTTTTTTCTTATGTGCTCCCTAATTGACAGGTGTCAGATTGTAACAGATACTTGTAAAAATAATGTCTTAAAGTTTCTTTCAAAGCCTTTTAAATCACTTTTATCGTTACGGAAATGAAAATGTTTCGGTGAGGCATCTCTCTTTCATTTGCATTACCTCTATTTTAACTACCATTTACTCGCTCAAAAATTGTTCAGTTTATGAAAGATCTTGCCGTATTTACAGCCCTAAATCATTCGGGTTCTTTCGGAAAGAATTTCGTCAAGTTTAAAAAAAAAATATGTTATTTACCGGCTAAAGGTCGGTCCGTATGGTGAAAAACTGTGACCTCGGTCTTGAAATGTTTTTCACCATACGGACCTCCCAGCCGGCAAATAACATATACATATCATTTGTGTCTCTGGTTCAAAAGAAGAGGTTGGAAGTAAATGTGAGTGAAAAGTGAAATTTACTTTCCATCATTGTAAATATTTGAAAATCAAGGCAATACTGTCGTAATGAAAACATTAATGATTCCCTCTTTATCAGATGAGACAAACGGGAACGAGTTTTGAGTGACATAACTAAGCCAAGACTGCCACGGTCATTTTGGATTTCCACCTGGGTAAGTTTTGGTCACGTGCTAGGCAACGTATAATCGAGAACAAGATAGAATTTCATTTCAGGCCTATTTATCCATTTTGTGGTGTAAAACTTTCGCATTTTAGTATGTAATATCTATATAGTATCTTCAAATTGTCTCGAAACTTAAAAGAAAATTGTTCTTTAAAAATTCACTGGAAATCGGTAGCCAAAATTATTTGTTTAGGTGTTATTTGATTTTCGTGTTAACCTGTAATTTCGTCAGTCGCCGGCACCTTTTGTTGCTTCACACAGGAAAAACACATGATACGAAATGTAATGATCGATTTTGTCCCCAACCTCACGCCACAACAGAAAAAGCTTTTTTCTGTAAAACTCGAGCGCTTCGGAGTAAGTGATATTTTTAATGAATCGTCGGATTGTTTTCAAGTTCAAGGATTATAAATTACAATTTTGTGGAAAACGAAGGTTGTTGTCTTATTTCATTGTGAACCCTCGAACGCCTGCCAGTTGATAGCGCCGCTTGTTGAAACTAGAACGAAAAAAATTAACTCTTTTAATATTATCACTGGCTTCTTTTTCATCTCAACACTATTCTTAGCAGCAAAGGTCGCCATTTCGCTTGTTTATTACTCGCCAAAAACTATCAAATGCACTCAAAAGCCTAAAATTGAAAAAAAAGTATACAGGAATCGACCAATCGAGCGAGCAAGCGAGTGCCATTCCCCACTGGGTTTGGGTGTATTTGAAAACCCTCCTGAGCCCGACACCAAGCTAAGAAACTCGAAAGAGTGCTGTGTACCAACTGGCTCGCAGGTGCACGCAAAGGCCACGACATTCAGCGAAAATAATGGCAAACGCAGACGATAATTGCAGTCAAAAAACAGGCAAATAAAGTAACAGAAGGTTTAAGAACTTTCTAGAAGTGTTTTCTTGAGAAAACAGATAAACAATTTTACTTCTCAAGAACGATCACGCGTCACGATACAAATACAGTTAATGAATTTTATGGGGCTATCCATATTTCCTTTCAAATGAGGAGGACAGAGTTTCCCGTCACCACGGTTTGGAAAAGCCGAAGTTGTCACAAACGGGAACTTGTACGTCAACAAGAATGCGACATGTGACTTTAAAATCTCCTCTACTGTTACAGTTTCCTTATTGTGAACTGTGCGATAATGAACAATAAAATTATAGACTAATGAATGTAAAATTCATTAAAGTATGAGCCAGCAGTCTTCCTGCAAATTTCCCTTGATGAAAAAATCCGAAGACATAGCGAGTTGTTCTCGTGCATAGACAAAGACAATAAATTTGGAAGAAAAGTGAGATGCAAAGGTCTGTATTTTTTGTAGCCTAAAGCAGCTGTACCCTCTCCTGCACTATTCGTCTAAATTTTGCAAGGTCCCTCCTTATCTTCTGCCTTGTTCGGTCAGTTTCGACCTCTGATGTTAGATTATCGACATCGGCCTCATTCATATTTACAGAGGGGGACCTCTTCGATAAACCAATATTTTTAGGGCAGATAAGCGGCTAAAGTATCGAGCAACATTTCTGGCCGGTGTCGTCTCTTAATCTCAATATTTGGGAAGCCACATTAGAAGCGGTTGCCTTACTAGTTTCCTCCCCTGTCTGCTTTCTGAGGAAAGGCAGCTGCTTTATGTGTTTTCCAAAGAGCCCATCCAAAATCCACCTGACTAGTTAGCGATTGTTCGTCAGAATTTTGCCTAAGGTCCGACCTTGAACGAAGATCATATTTGCGACCACCGTACACCCAAAACGAACACTTTTTGCTTACCTAACTCACGTTCTCAGATCCTCTTCCCTGGAAATTTTATTGACAATGATTTATTGAAAGAAATTGTCCAACCGCGAACCTTTCAGCAAATTGAGTCAAAACGATGAGAGAATAACACTCCTCTGGGTCCCCTGGGCGACGTGTGAGCCCGCAGGCAAAGACAGGCTGGTTAGCTCCTGCCACTAAGATCATGATTAATGGGCTAGAAATTTTACTACATGATCAGGGCTGGAATTGATTCGTTGAGCTTAAGAGAAAGTTCACTTTTTGTTCGTGCCCCGCCTTAGCCGTTTCTGTTACCAGGCCCTCACGAAGAGGCCACACAAAGCTCGTGAATAACTTCGCATTGCATGCTGGGATTTATGGAGTTACCATCGGATCAATCGCGGGAAGAAAAAAGACTGAAATACAAGTGGTCAGCGGTGAAAAACTTTAATACCTCATACAGAGATAGTGTTGGAAACTGTACGATACGTTAATTATTCTCAATGTGATTAACATTTATAAGGGATTTCGTTTATTTACACATAACTAAGCAAACCTGTATGCAGCACGTGTTTTATCGTCCCATATATGGCACTGTTCCACGTGCTTACAACGGGACGTTGAGTGTGTTTCCTTCTAATAAGCCGAGAGTTGTGAGTGGGAGTCAACCGAAGTGTAATAGCAAAATTTTTTAATCAAGCGAATAAATCGTGAGTTTATAAAGAAGCGTGATACAGCTTTTTCACGTTTTCGACAAAGTGGCGACCCTGCCAGGACAGCGTTGAGAATCATGGACAAACAAATTGCCGAACTTGAGGGCAAATTGAAGACATTGAATTTTCGTTTGAAGAAGACAGGAAATGTCTCAAAGAAAGATGATCGAACAGCTTTTGAGAGACACAAAGTTTCCGTTGAGGCCCTAGTGATGGCAGTAGTCAAGCTAAAGAAATCCATTGAGGAACAGAAGTTCGCGAACTGTGAGGACGATGAGGCAGTTCAAGAATGGGCCAACGAAATCGAAAAAAAGTTGTTAACGAGGGGGATGCCTGTATACGCGAATTGGCAGAACGAATTGAACAAATCGATCGTAATCTGAAACACGCAACCATATGTCTGTTGTTGGGTTCGTCTTTGTCTTTAACGTTGGTCAGCAAATGTCGTAAAGTAGTAATAGGCCTGTGAGCTACACGAATGTTGTAAGGTTGTAGGATCCGCGCGATA